AGTAAATGTAATATATTATATACAAAATCAACAAGTATGAAGTATATGATAATACATATTGACCTGCCACCATGAACAGATATATCATTGGAAAAAACTTAGAAAGAAAAACCCGAGAAACTATCTGCTATGAAAAATAAAAAATAAAAAAACATTTTGGGCAAGATCGCCAATTGTAAAAAAGAGTGATAGAAGTTTGATTTAGGAAAAGAAATATTGGTAGTATGTGGGATGGACTATATGCTGCTTAGTTATGAGTAAGAGATATAGTTAATGATTTATGGAAAGTAAAAAGTTATAGTGGTGATGTGTTTAAATTAGGAGTGTATTATCTTTGAACCAACAATTCCTTTCACAGGGCACAAACCGAATGTGTCTACCTAAGTTACCACTTCCTTTTCGATAGCTGGGCACGACTCCAGCAGCAGTAGAGGAGCACTGGCTTAAGCTGCCAGATTACAGGACACAACTCCCTGGTATCTCACTTCTACTCGCAATAAAAGTATTATACTTTTACTCACATTGATTAGGTTTTGGCTGCTTTTTTTCTTTAACAGTAGCATTGCTGCTCATAGGTCACAACTCCATTGTTAAGATAATAAAAAGTCATGTGGTTGGTAAAAGAGTATTGTGATTTAGGTATAAGTGGGTCGGATAACTGGAACCTGCTCCAATTGCTTGTTTTGTTGTTTGGATGCATGTAAAGTAGAGATTACTAAAATCCATGTAGGGCACAGGTCACGTGCTCTTCCAATCCATAAGTTATCAGATCATTTTTGTTATTAATATTGTTGTATTGTTGTGATTGGTATTGTTGTTAAGTTAAAAATTTTTTGTTAAAAGAAGACTGGTTGTAAACGAGTTTGAACAGGTTTGGTGTTGTTGTTAGGGATAGAAAAATTTTATTGGTCATTTGTAAAGTGTAGATCTTTGGATAGGGTGAAACTGATTTTGGTTTTAAGTAGATTTGAAAAGTGTGTAGAAAAGTGTAGGAATATGATATAGTATTGATGTTTAGATAGAGAAGGAAAAAAAATTAAAAAAATTTTACAAAGGTTGTGTTAAGACAAACATTAGACCCAGTAACTATATTTGAATGTGTTGTTAAGATTGAATTTGTGTTGTAAAGAGAGAAAGGTGAGAGAAAAAGCAATTATCATGATCATAAAGAGAAAGATACCTAAAGACCAAAAATTATGAAGGAAGGCTGCCATGAGTCTTTCTCCATGCAACCAAGAACTAAAGAAGACTCTCAATTTGCTTAGGTCTTGATCAGAGGTCTCATCCCAATGTAACAGTATTCCTTAAAGTCTTTATATCCTTTGGATTTAAAGCTTATTGCCTTAGAGAATAAAGAGAAGAAGACGCTTCTTGAAAGAAGATTTTCTAAAAAGGAAATTTCAAAAAATCAGTGGTGAACGGGTAAGAATTTTTTTTTTATCAAGTATTAATTAAATTTTGCTGAATATTATTATTAATATAATTTTTTTATTGAGACCTGTGGATCTATAGTGTAGTGATTAACACTCCACAGGTCAGATCACAAGATATCAATTCAACCCCAGGTGAAGGTGGTTAAACCGAATTAAAAATAGTATCTGGGGTTACAACCTGTTAAGTCCTGTTTCCTATAAGAAGTCATTTGCATGTGATCCAGTAGAACATTGGGATTGTAACCTCTAGAAAAAGTGTTGTGATGCGATGATTGTCCAGCTGGTGTTATGATGATCGCCAGAAGTTGTAAGGTGTATAAGGTGTCCACTTTCAACGAGTAGATTTGGTGATCCTTTCCCTAATATCCAGTATCTTTCACACAAATCCCTGCCCTAGTTTCATCCCAATCCAGTAATAAACCAGTCTGGCGATACTTATCCTGAGAAGGCTTCTAGCTATAAGTCTTGTTTCCTGCAATGTATAAGTCGGTGTTCAGACCGTAAGCACCAGTTATAAGTACCTTGAATGTTCTTAGGTATCATTGGACAGGTAAGAAATTAAATGATTAATCCAGCTATAGGTGGTGGTAAAAGGATTTATCTCCAATAAAGCAAGCAGTGATTATATAATTTTATTTGTCATAGATATTATCCCTAGTGCCTTCTTTCCATTTTTTCTTAACTTTTCCTTAATTAAAAATAAAGCTATTCAATTACTAATGAAAATGTACACTACTGGTCCAACAAAGGATTACATTTTTTTAGTAGATTAGCCTCTATATCTAATATAGTTAGGAACAAGCTACAGAAAATATCGTTATTTGAGGCAATCCTGATTAGTGTTGGGTATAATTAACAACCAATACGTTATAGCATAGTTCTAGATAGTAATGTTGAAAGATATATATAAACATTGTTATTAAAAATAAATACTCGGCCAGACAATTATCACTAGTGCATTTTAAAATAATAATAATAATAATAATAATTTTTTTTTTGAAAATATATAATTTGATTTTACCAAAGTTATAATGCTAAATAATTTTATTAACTTTATAGTTAAATAATAAAATTAATTCTGAATACTATAATTTTTATTACAGAATATTGTAACTTTATTGCTAAATATTTTTTAACTAAAATATTTTTTTGCTAAATAATTTTATTGCCAAATGCTTTTATTGTCAAATGAATTTATTATCAAATAATTTTATTGTTAAATAGTTATTTTTTTACTGAATGTTATTTTTTTGGTTGAATTATTATATATTTTTTAGACCTGTAGATTTATAGCACAATGGTTAGTGCTCCACAAGTCAGATTACAAGATACCAGTTCAACTTCAGATGAAGGCAGTTGAATAGAATAAATATGATATCTGGCACCATAATCTGTCACGTGTCATTTTTTAATACAAACTGATTCACATGCAGATTCTGCAGACAATGAGATTGTGACTATCAAGAAAAAGATGTTGTAGCATGACAATCATCTGGTTGGTAATATAATGATCACCGGAAGCAGTAAAAAAAGTGCAAGGTTACTGGTTTCAATGTGAAAAAAGATAAAAAGAATTGTTAATCGTTTTTCTATAGGTATGAAAAGTGTTCTCCTATGAAAAGTCCTATTCCAATTCAGTAATACATTAGCTTGCTAGTTACTTATCCTGGAAAGGCAGCTAGAAAAGTAGAAAGACCTTGGCCATTCTTGGGTAACTAAAAAAAGATGGTAATTATAAATAAAAATAAAATTAGTGTCAAAAATAAAGAAATGAGAAAGGTAATGCTTGAGTAAGCAAGCAGGGCAATAGATTATACCCAGATAGTTTAGGCTTGTGGATAGGTTCTAATTAATATAGGATTAATATAGTATAAATTTAGACATATCACATATATAATAAACTATCTATGTTAATAAAACTAAAGTATTGTTTTACCTTAGCATTAAAAAAAAAATTTATATTTTTTAAATGCTGAATAACATAAATTGAACCAAACAATAAAATTTCAGTACAAACTTTTGTTAATAAGTTTGAATCTAATCAGCTGTAATTCAGCAGCCAAATAATTTAATTTGGACTAGTATAAGTATAATACTATATACAAAACTTAAAGTATAGATAGTTTTTTATATTTTAATATATTAGAAAATATTTAAAGAAAATAAATATAACAATCAAATATAAATTCAATATTAGAAAAATTCTTTCAAATTTGATTTTACTATTTATATATTATTAACATTAAATTAATCTTGAATTTACAATTAAAAGTTTTAATTTTCAGTTTATTGTTATTGTTTTAAAATAATAATAATAATTGTACTAATTTGGATTTGCATTAAACTAAGTAATTCTATAAAATAAAATAATAGTAGAAATAAAATAAAATAAATAAAATAAAATAAAATAAAATAAAATAATTGAAAATAATTGAAGAAATATTAAAAGAAATCAAAAGAAATCAAAAGAAAATGAAATTCACAATTTGATATATTGAAACTTATAGTTTCTCATCTGATAGACTCAAAAACTATTGATAAAAATAATTTTTAATTATCAACAATTTAAATTATTCAATATATATTTTGTTACAAATAATATCAAATAAATTTTTGGTTTTATAAAAAAAATACTTATAATTAAAAAAAATTTTTTCTATTATATAAATTCTACTTATAAAAAATTCAAAAACTATAAAAACTTTAATTCTAATCTAGTATTATAGGAAAAAAAAGATAATTTTTTGTGCAATTCTTTATTGGATACTGTAATGAGAATATTAAAATAAAGAAGAAAATTGGGATAAAGAATGATTAAGATATAAAGAATAATTAGAATAATCAGAAAAATAAAAATATGTATAACTGATTTTTTTATAAAAGCAACGTAGTGTTACGGGGAAACGACGATCGACGATATGGCTTAGAAATTGAGAAAACGACGATCGCGCATTATAGAGGTTGCCAAAACGGGTAATCGACCCTCAACCTCGTTATTTCTTTTATTTTCTTTATTTCTTTATTTCTTTTATTTCTTTTATTTTCTTTTGCCGTAAGAAAGAGCATAAAAACAATGTAAGGAAATGTAGTAGAAAAGAAAGGAGTGGAAAAATTAGTCAATAAAAGAATGTTAAAATCGACCTACTTATCGCACTGTTCTGACCAATAAAATCTCCCAAATCACACAAACTCGCCAAATCTACGCCTCTTTCTGCCTTTAAGCCCCCCCGTTATATCAGATACCCCTGTCGGTTTAGGTGAGGAATATAATTTGGTAACGTAAGTATTTTATTTGATTATTCTTGTTATCTGCTTTTATTAAATAATTAAATGCTAACATTTTATACATTTTAAATGAAACTTAAAGAATTATTTAGAAAATATTATGAAAATTATGTAGATTCTACTTGTTTCTAGCGCTAATTACATAATCTAATACTTATTATATTACTATTCTTCTTTAGCGCCAGTTTCTGCTTCTCTTGTGATTCCCGATCACGTGCCCAAATCGCGTTATCACTGTTTATTTTTTCCCTTATCTTATCATTTATGCAAATAAGACAATTATCATTGTAGCTGGTCATTATTTTGTGAGAATCGTGATAAATTGTGGACGCGCGTTTGATTTCGTCCATATTTTTTTCACAAACTTCATATACTTTACCTCCAACTTGTATCGTTTCACTAGCATTGATTATAACTTTTACACCATCAACCACTTCTTGACCATGATTAACAATTTCTTTAACTGCTTGAATACCTGTTCCTAAACTGAATATCCCGCCAGTGACACTATTAATACCAACATCTTCAACCAAATCCCCTACATTTTCTAAAATCTTATTATCATAGTCTTTGGAGATTCCCTTTACAAGTTTTCCAACCACGTAAAAACTAGCACCTATAAGAGGAGCGGCCAATCCTCCCGTGGCGACAATAGATGCGCCCGCTGCTGTTGTCACTGTCGCCTTTCCAGCAAATTTTGCCACTTCAAAAGCAACATTTCCGAAACCTTTGAAAGAGTCTCCGACTCCGAGATTTAAAATTTCCATTTTTTGTTTCGTTATGTTTTACAAATAATTGAGAAGTAATGTTGATAATAAAAAAAGCTTTAGGAGAAAAACAAAGTGTATATTATTTACGTGCTTTTTATAAAAAAATGATTATTATTCTTTGACTTTGAAAGGGCATACCAAACCCACACCTTTTATAAAAAAAGTATTCTTCTCGAAAAGTCCGAAAACCTTCTATAAATCTGTGTCATTACGTCAAATAATTTTATCTGGAAAAAAGTTTTAATGCAAACTTTATTTATTTGATTGGTGCACTGGATGTGCAGATAACTCCGGAATTCTTTACTAGCCGTCTGCTTAGATTTTTAAGGCATGAAAAGGCTTTTAAAAATTTAAAACCCAATATAGTAATAAGTAACTTTACGATGAATAAGTTATTTGATTGAAACGCTTTATATACAATTTTTACTAATTCACTCGAGAAAAAATAGAAAATTTAGCTTTTCAATAATATTATACTGTTAAAGAGAAAAATAAACATCCGCAACAAAGTGTCGATCCATTTATAACAGTAATTTTGATCCGGATATAGTACAATGACCAACGTGTACATATGCAGGTATTACGATATTATTCATAAGAAATGATAACAATGCATACTTTGATTTTGCAACAAACAAACCCTAAAACGTTATTGACTGATAAAAAAAAAATGTACTGTACTCAGAATATCTCACGCAAGATATCTATTAACTATCCTTTTATAAGTCATTCCGTCACATTACGAAAAAACAATAGGAAAAAAATGATGTAATGTGCCGATATCGGTTTCTTATTTCTATTGATTGTTTCTAATTAAATTTTTGTGCTTTCGAATATTATGGCAAAGACATGAGAGGTACATATTTATGCAACATACACACAGCAGCCGTGATAATTCCATATTCCCGGATCACTTTTCACTATAAAAAACTCGGAAATCTTAAGCCGTAAAAATCGCTTAAACAATAAAATTAAGATAATAAAGTAACTAAATTTAATAAATTTAAATAATATAATTATAATGATTTGGATAGTAAACAACCGAATTTAGATAACAAAATCAATAAATTTAAATAATAAATAAATGAGTAATATAATTAATTATTGAAATTTAAATATGAAAATTTAAAAAAAAATCGGTCAAGTTATCTCACTTAAATCTGTTATTAATATATATATATATATTTCACATTTTTTTAAAAAAATGAGTTCACTACAATCTATCCCTTACATGTTTAAGAATTTACAATTACAAAATAATTTCTTTTAACATTCAAAATACTGTACAATTGAAAATTTTAAAAAATTGTGATAATGAAATAATATTAATATTTATATAATAATATTCTAATTAAAAATATTGAAATTATCAAAATCATTATAACAGCAATCACTATAATAAAAATCAATTGAAAAAAATCTTGGAAATTATTAAAATTATTTGTAGAAAAAACTATCTCAAAAAACAAACTAATAAAAATTATTGGTTTTATTCTTCAACAAACAGTCTCAACAGATTATATATTTTGACAAAATATATTGATTGCTTTCTCAATCAAAAAACTAACTTGCATTCTTATCAAATTAAAATAATCAAAATAAATTTAATTCAATTTATATCTTTTTTATCTCCAAAACACAGTGTTCATTAAATTTTTAAAAATATTTTTAATTTATTAAGTATAAAATTATTTTTTTTATCAACAGTTTATAACTTTATATTAGTTTTTTATTTTAATAATTTTAATAAAAAAAATATTTAAACTATCTTTTTATTTGAATATTTTTTTAATTAATTTATAAAAATAAAATAAACTATTTTCATAATTATAAACCTAACAAAAACTAAATAATATTATTTGGTTTAATCTTTTCAAGCTTCTATTTTATAAACTTAACTATATAACAATACAAATTTATTTTTACTGTTAACTATTTAATATGTATTAAATCAAAAATTATTTATTAAAAGTTACAAAATTAATAAATTAATTTTTTTTTACCATTTCAATAATTACAATAAAAATTGCAAAACTTAATATAAAGATCTAATTAACAATATAAAAAAAATTATTTAACTTTAAAAATCATTTTATTTTTTTCAAATTATTATATTATTTTTTATTAGATTATAATAATATCTAATTTAAATAATGTAGTTTTAATTATCAAATATTTTATGTATTCTTTAGATTTTTTTTTATTAAAAAATATATAAAAAAAAATTACTTACAGTATATAAACTTTTGATATTTTAAATTCAAATATAATTTAATCAATCTTTTAGTTATATTTTAAATTTTATTTATTTATTTTTAAAATTATAAATTATTATTAATTATTATTATTTTTCTTAAATTTTTTTATCTTGGATATATAATATAAACCAAATTTTATTTATATATACAATACTTTTCAATAAATAAAGGACTATTTAAAAATTATTACAATTAATCAAAAATAGTTATCATATATTAAATAATTTATTTTATTAATAAAAACAATTGATATGTATTAACTAAACTTGTTTATTATAAAAAAAAAAACTTTTTCCCACTCCCCTTTCTACGCTTTAAAATTTCCTTTTTAGGAAATTTTTGAGTTGTTTAATTTTTCTTCATCTTTCCCTTGTCCTTTTCTCTATGCCCCTTCCCCATACCTCTTTACTTCCCTTTTCCTATTCTCTCCCCTCTCTTCTATATACTTTCTTTTTATTTTTACCCCTTCCTTCCTCTTTCCCCTTTTCTTCTTGCCGAAGCTAGGTTTTTCCCTTTTTCCTAAAGGTTTTCCTCCCTAGGCCTCTCTCTCTTTTGAAAACTCCGCCTCCATAACATCACTCCTCTGGTCAGTTGACCTCCTTTTCTTAAGAACCATATCAAAAAGCAGTAACCTTTCTTAGGACATGAGCTTTAGGAATTTTTTCTCTTCCATGGCTCCTCAGAAAAAGAATGGACGGCTTACCCCTCCAAAAGATCGACATGGTCATCATTACCAAA